AAAAGTAAGTGGGTATAAGAGAGAATTATAAATTGTTTAATTGTTGAAAGTATTTAAGTGTGAGGTTATAGTTTTTGTATAATAAAATAAGATTTTTGTCCTAAGAATAAAAAGATAAAAGATCAGGACAAAACTGTAAAAGGTTAGAGATGAGTCACAAATGGTCTAAGTTGGACAAGGTTTGGTGACAGTGTGTGTAAGTATGATATATATTTGGTAACTAAAATTCTCAAAGTTATGCTTATCTACTCATGGTTACATTTGCAAAAGCTGACTAAAAAGAACAAAGAAAAGTATGTCTAATCAAGATAATTAACGATTTGAGAAAATGGAGTCACACACATTTTTTAAAACTAGGCAGGTTTTTGTTTGTTTGTTTGTTTGGTTGGCTGGTTGTTTTTTGTTTTTTTGTCTAAACTATATATTACCTATAACTTAAAATTATGAAAGTGGTAATGTCATCCTTCTAAGAGTCCAACAAAGCTTGGAAGCCTGCACAAATAAGGACAAGCAGGTCCAAGAAGACGATCTGTATTGTGTCCTTGCCCTCTAAGATCAGAAAGGACCTAGGGAACAATGAAACTCCCTCTGATAAGTTAGTTGTCTACCCCCTTGATTGGAAAGGCAACAAAATGTCCAGGGATTATACTCTAATCAGTACATCCTAAAAGAAGAGAAGTTATTGTGAACTTCCGGCTATGAGTGATGCTATAAAGACGTTATCATTATGTGGTACTACATTATTAATGAACAGGTGTGTGAGGGGAGTGTAATTGTCAAAGGGAAAAGAGCCAAGACCTTCTGAATTTTTAAAAGTACCCAGGCAGCCTTCACAGAAATGCATAAAGTAAAAAAGTAAAATAAAAAGCAAAACCACAAATATTTACTGATGGTAATGGACTACCCTTCCAGATGAGTAAGGAGCTCCTCCCTCCACATGCTTTGTTGGTATTTTGTACTTTGAGCATGGAGGGACACACCTTTAATCCTAGCACTGGAAGGCAGAGGCAGGTGTATCTCTCAGAGTTTGAGGCCAGCCTGGTCTAAGCGTACAGTTCCAGGACAGCAAGAGCTACATAGTGAGACCTTGTCTCAAAACAAAACAAAACAAAAAAACCTTGCAGTAAATCATAGCTGTCTCCTTAAACTTTTGCTCAGAACTTGCTCCTTGTAAGTAGTGTGGATTGCATCCATAAAACCTTGCATGGCCTCCTGCATCCTAGCATGTCCACAGACCTCCACCAAGGAAACTAAGAATCAATTTCTTAAAAATTATGAGCTAGATCTCTCTTCTACTTTGCTTTCTTCTGGGTTACAAGGCCTTCTTGCCCAGACTCTTCTGCTCAGTTTTCCAGCCTATCCTTTACAAGCTAGGGATCAGGCGCTGATAAAAACTGGAACGAGAACAGAATAGAACCAACCTGGAAAGGGCCCTTTCTGGTGATATTCACCGCTAAAAACATGGTTAAGATAGCGAAAAGAGATGGAACACATGATACCCAGATGAAGAAGGCTACTAGCAACAGTGCCCAGAGACAATAGGCAATCTTAACACAAGGAAACATTTTGAAATTAATATTAAGAAAGAACTGTTTTAAATGTTTATTATGGGAGGAAAAGATAATGGGAATCTTGGTGATCAATGTAACTAAGACAGCCTTCCTGCCAACTGTTCAGTTTAATGCGTGTCTAGTCTTAACCTAAGGAAACTTAGAAACCAGAAAGAATTTTCATGTATGGACAAATATTTTGTATTGAGTTTTCCCCCATGGGTCATCTATGGAGTATTTAAAATTAACCCTGAAAGGAACTTTATGATACCTCAGGTGGTATGAATGAGAATAACCCCTACAGGCTTATACATTTGAGTGTTTGGTTCCAGCTGATGGGTGGTTTAGGAAAGATTGTGAGTTGTTGCCTTGCTGGAGGAAGTGTGCCGCTAGGGGTGGACTTTGAGGTTGCCAGACAGACCTGGTCTCCCCTTCTGCCTCTATCTTGCCAAAAGATGTAAGCTTTCAACTACTTTTTCAGTGCCATGACCTATCTGCCTACTTGCCTGCCTGTCGCCATGTTTTTTGTTGTGTAGACTATAAAATATTGGCCCTTGGTGGGCTATCTACTTTTGATAAATTTTTTTTCTCATGGGTGAGAAACTGCTACTGGAACATTGCTGACCTCCACACAAACATCTTGACATGAATTCATAATACACACTTACAAACATATACACACTCAAAATTAAATTTTAAATTAAAAACAAAATATAAAAAAGGGACAGAAAATTGAGCAGTTGTAGGTCTAGGAATAAAATAGCGAAAGAGGCTAATCATAAGGAGGAATATTTGTGTCTTTTCTGTAAATAGAAGCTCTTCTGCCACCTGGCTACCTTCTTTCATGATTCTGTGTTTCCAGTCAAGATGACTAACAGGAATGCTAGGCAAGCCTAGGGAAAAATAACCTTGTAGTATGGTTGTGGACAAAACATTGCCAAATGATCAGCATACCAATGCACAGAATGTAGTAGAATCTGACCCAAAGGTTAAAGCAGAAAGTGGGAATAGATACAAAGAAGACAGATATGAAACCTTTTAAATCTGTTCTAACGACCCATCAAACATGGAAGCATTTTATGTTATCACAGGAATCTCACTCTGGACCCTTTTGGGCTCCCTATCCCTAGATTTCCATTGAAAAAATTCAAATGAGAGTACTGTATCAGGTAGACAAGTTTACTTTCAAATAGAGGATAGCACAGTCATAAGAGATGAGAGTGGACAAGGCTAAAGAGAGCACTGTAGGAAAGCTACTTGCCCCTAGAACCGACACCCCTTTTCCTGAGGGGAGGTTTCTCATTCAGGTGATTGACACGTCAATTTGGATTGAGTCTTATGAAGGGACAATGTTGTATCTTTCCCCCTTTACCAGAAAGCCTTCAGCTACTTGTCTTATAAAGCTTACATAGTCATCTATTAATGATGTTATATTAATAGCCTTAGAAATGTGACTTAGATACTATTCTTTTGACGAGTAACCAGAGTCCTACAGCTTCCGTCCTTGATTATGATGAGGCAGGGTTGGGGGTCGGGTGAGGTGTGTATCCCTAATGACATACAGGCCTGCTAAAATCTACCTTGTGTGAACTGATGTTCCCAGGGGGGGAAAAGCCACATTTGTGTTGGATTCCACAAGACTGATTGAATGGTTAGGACTTAGGCGGTTGCAGAGAGTTTTAAAGTTGCATGTACAGAGACAAATTATCCTGTGCTACAGTTATCTGTCTTTATAACCATTGATTGCCTACCTGTGTGTCTGACTTAATGTTCTGCTTACTGGGCAAATCTGTAGCACGTGTTTTTAAACTCTGTTTTACTTGGGGTTCCTTAAAGCCTTTCCCTTCCAACCCCTCAGCCCTTAGTAGGAGAGAGGTTGGTGGGGAGAGAGGGCGCAGACCCCTTCACTTCTCCTGGCTGTTTAGGGTTGAAGGGTTCTTTTAGGGCTATTCCAGTCTCCATGAGCAGCATACGTAGCAGCAACAAGTCTCCTCCAAGCTGCTGTGCCCGGAAGCATTTCTCTCCAGCTGTCTGCTGAAACTGCCACTGACCAGACACCACCACCACCACCACCACCACCACCACCACCACCACCACCACCA